CAACAATACAGTGGAATGGTTAGCACAGCACAAATTTGACATGTCCCTGAGTGAAGAAGGTTACAATTTGTATAATGCTGTGTATGCTGTGGCCCACACCTACCATGAACTCATTCATCAGCAAGTAGAATCTCAGCAAATGGCAGAACCCAAAGGAGTGTTCACTAACTGTCAGCAGGTAGAGTTTCTTACATTTAATTATGCTTATATATATCAATGTAATATTTAAATGGCCCCTGAGAAACTCACATAAATTTGTTAGAGATTATTCTTGCAATAAAAAGATTTTTATAAAGGCTGGAGAGGTGGCTCAGGTGTTAAGAGCACTGACTGCTATTCGAGGTGTCCTGAGTTCAATTCCCAGCAACCACATGGTGGCTCACAAGTGTCTGTAATGGGATCCGATCCCCTCTTCTGGAGTGTCTGAAAATATTGACAGTTTACTCATATATATGCCAGGCGGGGGTGACACACGCCTTTAATCCCAGCACTTGGGAGGCAGAGGCAGGTAGATTTCTGAGTTCGAGGCCAGCCTGGTCTACAGAGTGAGTTTCAGGACAGCGATGGCTACACAGAGAAATCCTGTCTCAAAAAAAAAAAAAAGATTTCTATACTATAAAACTACCTACTGAATTTTTTACATGGATATGTAACATGCAAAAGGATAACATACAATTGGAGACAATATTTTTGTATGAATGTCAGTGAGTTTGTGAAAATGTGTCTCAACATTCTATCAAATGAGTTCAATGTTTAAAATAAGAGTCAAGAGTTTTATCATAAAAGCATTAACTGATAACTAGCATAGAATAATTTTCTCAAGAATATTTTTCTCAATAATTGGTACATTTGCTGTGATTAATAGTTATTCATTTAAAGTAATGATTACTTATAAAAACCTAAATGATGAAGACTGCACAATTAATAAGTTTATGTTTATTTCATATATGAAAACTGTATATACATGAATGACACAATACCTTCCTTTGTTTCCACAATTTCCAGATATTCAGACTTCCCACTCATTCTCACACACATGGCTTCAATTTTAAAAATTATTCTTGAAAAACATGTGCACACACACACATGTTCAAGATCACACATGCTCATACATATACACACACTCACATCATGTTACTTGTTATTTGGATAGCAATTATTTTAGCTTTATTTATGTCTTGAAACATTAAAATGATGTATATGAATTTTTAATTACCCATGAGTTATATTATATATAAGTACATTGGATTTTTTAATATAGATGTCTTTTCTAAAAAAAAACATTAAAAATTAAGGGACATTGTCAATTTTACTTTTCCTTAATCGATATGTACATGTAATCATCTGATGATGCATCTCATTTAGGTGGCTTCCATGTTGAAAACTAGAGTATTTATTAACCCTGTTGGTGAACTGGTAAACATGAATCATAGAGAAAATGAGTGTGCACAGTATGACATTTTCAACATTTGGAATTTTCCACAAGATCTTGGATTAAAAGTCAAACTAGGAAGCTATTTTCTTTGTTTCCCACAGAGCCAACAACTTCAAATATCTGAACACTTGGAGTTGGCCACAGGAGGAACATCGGTGGGTATACAACAATTTTAATTTTTGTCAGGATATCTAAATTTTAAAATATGAGGCATTGAAGTTATAGCTCTGTAGTTAATAGCAATTGCTGTTCTTGCCAAAGGCCCAACCTCAGTTACCAGAATCAAAATTTAATGACTCACAACTTCATATAAATCAAGGTCATAGGAAGTAAAGGCCTCTGGATTCCATGTTCAATTGTACCTGCATGCCTATCCACTCCAACTACATAAATACATTTATTAAATTTAAAGAAATATATATGTATAATTAAAATTTTGTAGCTATATATAAACCATGACATTTTTGTTTCTATGTGAACATCATTATATCCTAAAGAAGTACAACATGTGTTCATTAACAGAAATATTTTCCCCAAGGTTTTCTATTCAACTTAGAAAAACTTCATTGTATTTATGAGAGTTTTATATGACATGCTTTGTTGATATTCATCAGACAACTCTTTCTGGATTTATCCTACCTTCTCTCTCCACACCACTCAATGTTCTCATTCTTTTATTGTATAAATCTGGTGCCATAAATATTCCTTTTGGTTTAATAATTTTAGAAAGAAAAATTTTAAATTGCTAAAACATAAATGTTACATATATAATATTAAATGATGTAATAAATATTGTGTGACTTTGAGGGCATTTCAGGGTAATAGAAAATAATAAAGTAACTGAAATTGATAAGTGATTCTGGTTAGCAGAGGAATAAATATAACCATATCTGTTAATGTCCCATAAATAAATATATGGGTCATTATACACACAATGAATACATGCATTACACATAAATACACAATACACAGACACATATGTATGGGTGTATGTACATATGTATATATATTACCTCAGGTTCCCACCTCCATGTGTAGTGTGACGTGCATTGCTGGATTCAGGAGAATTCATCAGGAACAAACAGCAGACTGCTGCTTTGATTGTGCCCAGTGCCCAGAAAATGAGGTTTCCAATGAGACAGGTACATGTTTGCATGCAGAAAAAAAATGGCTGAATTCTAATATCTTCTCATTCCAAACTAAAAATATAAAATGGCCTAGAAGGAAACAATAGACCTAAACTCTCTTTGTTTCCAAATTTAATGAATGGAATGGTATCAACTTCTTTTGTATCCTGCAAATAACCTGCACTATCTTCTACAAACAACTCATTTCTCTCACAGTATGATGGCTATTAATTTTGTATTATGCAGAAAACATTTAGGGGACATACATCTGTAAATATTTTAAACAAAACAGGCATGATCTATATATAAGTTTAATCTTATGTGATTATTGTACAAAGTAACTGGACTACATGATCAGTCCATAATCTTTCCCTCCTATCATTCAGCTTGGTCCCTGACAAAGACCAGATGCTTAGGGTAGCAGCTATTGTTACTGAAATACATTTTAAGAGCATGGAATATTTAAAGGATTAAGTAGTTCTTGTCAAAGAATTAGAGCAAGAGTGAAGATTTCAACAATGCACCCAGAGATGTGATAATGCATATCAGGAATCATAGCTTACATAAGGAAAAGGGGACAAATGTGAGTACTCATAAACTTCATGACATCTAGCTTGGAATATGTAGTTTAGAAAAAAGATATCTTACCATAATGAGGGGAACATGGATAGGTCTTTGAGGCATACAGCTTCAATAATGGAAATATTCTTTATGCAAACAGTATTTTGTATGAGGAATTGCATGTTGTTGTGCCTACGTTAAGATACAGACAAGGGCAAACCCCTCAAACCCAACAAAGTTTATACTGCAGTTAATCACCTGGCACTGAGAACTATGTCTGCACACTGCACATGTCTGTGAGTAGAGAGTTGATGCTTTAAAAAATTAAGTAATCTGAGATTATGCATGTTATTATTCATAACACACTAGAACACAACATGTCTTCTTTCTGCTTAATAAATAAGTATTTTTCTCCTGCATTTTCCATGATGGGTGTTTTGTTACATGACAAAGCATAGGTTAATACAGAACAGCATTACATCAGTGCTTCCTGCAGCAATTAGAAATGGAATATGCTCAACACCAAAATATTTTTGAGTATCGTCTGAATAATACAAACACTCAATTATTAAGTTAATAAATATGATATGATATAAGGGTTTGTTGTTGTTCACCAGCAGATATGGAGCAGTGCGTGAGGTGTCCAGATGATAAGTATGCCAACTTACAGCAAACCCACTGCCTCCAAAGGGCTGTGTCGTTCCTGGCTTATGAAGATCCAGTGGGGATGGCACTAGGCTGCATGGCCCTGTCCTTCTCTGTCCTCACAGTTCTAATACTAGTCACTTTTATGAAGCACAATGACGTTCCCATTGTGAAGGCCAATAACCGCATTCTCAGCTACATCCTGCTCATCTTTCTCTTCTTCTGTTTTCTCTGCTCATTGTTCTTCATTGGACATCCCAGCCAGGCCACCTGCATTCTGCAGCAGACCACATTTGGAGTATTTTTCACTGTGGCAGTTTCTACAGTATTGGCCAAAACAATAACTGTGGTCATGGCGTTCAAGCTCACTACTCCAGGAAGAAGAATGAGAAGGATGCTGGCATCAGGGACACCTAACTTGGTCATTCCCATTTGTACCCTAATCCAACTTGTTCTCTGTGGAACATGGTTGGTAACATCTCCTCCCTTCATTGACAGAGATATACAATCTGAACATGGAAAGACCATCATTTTTTGCAACAAAGGCTCAGTCATTGCCTTCCACTTTGTCCTGGGATACTTGGGTTCCTTGGCTCTGGTGAGCTTTGGTCTGGCTTTCTTGGCTAGGAATCTTCCTGACAGATTCAATGAAGCCAAGTTCCTAACTTTCAGCATTCTGGTGTTCTGCAGTGTCTGGATCACATTCCTCCCTGTCTACCACAGCACTAGGGGGAAGGTCATGGTGGTTGTGGAGGTTTTTTCCATCTTGGCTTCTAGTGCAGGGTTGCTAGGGTGTATCTTTGTCCCAAAGTGTTATGTTATTTTAGTTAGACCAGATTCAATGTTTATACAGAAGTACAAAAATAAATTGCATTATTGAAACTTTATTAGTATGAAATTTTAGATGATATTCAACATATCTTTTCCTTTGTCTTAACAAAAGTAGCACTTAATCATATGAAAATTTTAAGTAATATACAAATTTGAACTTAAAAACAGGACTGCACTGTCCACTGTCATAACAATTACTACACTTAGTGGAAAATGATTTCCTTCATAACTACACAAACCTGAAGACATTGAGAACCAGGAGTCTCAATTGAGGAAGGGCTACCATCATTTTGACCTGTAGTTTTGTGTGTAAGCCATGTGCTTAATTAATGATTAACATAAAGTGACCCTACTGACTGTGGACAGTGCCAATTCTGGGCAAGTTGATCTGAGAGTTATAAGAAAGAGGACTTCAGAAAATATGGACATGAAGCCATTAGTCAGCATTATTCGATTTGCTTTCATGGAGGGCTTACATCCAATTTCATGCCTTGGCTTCATTCAATATACTGTGACAAAGGTATATAAGTAAATAAACACCTTTCTTACGTGATTCTTTTGATCATAGTGTTACAGCAATAGAAACTAAAATATCCCCTAATTGGTAAATTGCCTCTATTGAGATTTGGAATATCATAGACTTCTGATGCAATGAAAGGCACTAATTTGAAAAGAGAACAAGAGTGAATGTTAGTAGAGTGTGAAGCACAGTGACAGTAATGCATATTGTGATGATCATCACAAAAGTTCTGGATTTTAGAATACCTTTACAATGTACTAGGAAGATGTTAAGAACATCAGATAACATAAGAAGAGAACATAGTATGAAAAGGACAAGGGGGTTCAGATTGTGTCTGGAATATAAGACTCTAACTTTATGCAAAAACACACTATTTCATTATGAAATAATTGTGTCTCATTAAGTGAGAAAAAACACTAATGGAAATATCCCACACAAGATCTTTACCACAATAAGCCAGTGGATTATACAAACGTATAAATCACTCTGGATTAAGGGTCTCATCATTAATTTTATCAAAATATGAGTACTAAAGATTATTTGGGTTTCATATTGCACACACAAACATGCACACACACACACACACACACACACACACACACATTATTTCTTTACATCAGGTGTTGCAGTTCAGTGTCAGGTTTCCCTCAAAGTTCTGTTTGCTGCTCTACTTTTAAAATATTATTTGGTAGTTTATTTTTGAGATTGTAATTTAACTGCTTTTTGTTTATATTTCCTATCTTCAAAACACTCTTTGTGCCCCTCCCTACACTCCTAAAATGTACGTGTCCTCTTATTTTATCAATTCTTACTGAATGTATATATTTATTTGCATATTCATTTTTTTTGAAATATAAATTGTAGAGACTGTTTTAAAACTGCATATATTTATGTTCTGATGGCTCATTATTGGTAGTATATTGTCAATATTTGTTCTTTGGTTGTCCATGAGGAACTATAAGTTTCCTGTAAATGGTTATGTAGACTATACACTGCCAGCTTTCTTCCTTCCAAAATGTCATGCACACTGTGACTCTTTTTCTCATTATGTTTTGAAGGTCATATTGGTAAGACTTTATGGTGTACCTTCTGCCAATCCTAGAAGATATATGTTCACATCTAGCTTCCTAATCCTTTGATTCTCACAATCTTTTCTACCATCTTATCTTTTCCCTGAGCCATAGATGAGGGATCATTTTGTAAGAGGGTACATTGCTTGTTTTTAAATGTACATTTTGCAGAGGAGAAATCATTATGTAGTGGGACCTACTTGGTCTTTATTCCCTTTGCCTTTTCCTCTGGTAGCATGTGGTGTACTTTCTAGCAATTTGAATTCCAATCACCAGAGGTAAAGCTTCTAGTTGGGGACCAGCTCAACTTCTCCATATTTGATGACATAAGTAAGATTTGTCTTCAGGATTATCTCCTTACCACCATTTAACATAGAACAACACCACCACTCAGGGCTCAGGGATCTATGTGGAAAAGCAGATCAATAAGTATAAGGGACAGGGGTATTGGGCGACTTCAGTAAAACAATACCATTACGAAAAAAAGGACTGATAATCATATGAACTCACAGAGATTTCTCAGCATTCATTAGACTTGCACAAGATCAAGCCCTACAGTGTCCCAATATTGACAAAGAGACATGGACATCTGCAAACACATTATAAATTTAGAATACGTGGCCATATCTGTCAAGAAACATTCTCTTGTTATGTTGATGTTACTCTATATTGATGTTCCATCACCTAATAAAGAAACTGAGGAAAGAAAACACAAATTTCAACATAAATACATTCTAAATAAAATAAAACAAAACCACACATGAGTGAATATTCCTTTCTACAATTGGTCATGTAGTAACTTGGAAGGCAGCCAGTTTCTGGTGTAGCACAGGTTGGAAACTCCAGTGACTCAAGATGATCCTGAAGGACGGAGGCTTTTAGCCATTCCCCCAGAGTCAAGACTCTAGACATGAGGCTTCCATAGATTTGTGTCCTTCAGTCATGTAAGGGCAATTCCCCTAGCCCCTCCACAGGTAGAGGATATGACCACAAGTCACATAGCCTCAAGACAGATACCTATTTTATTGAGATACCTAAAGGCCAGAAGTGTGTAGTCAATTAAGCTTTCCTTCACAGATGCTCCTCCCTGCAAAAGGTGTTTAACCTCAGGCCAGCCCTGAGAAAAGGAGGTAAGGATTTTACTCATCACTGCTCTCTGCCATGACTTTAATAAATGCTTTAAAACCATGGACTGTCTCTTTTCATCACCATCTGCCATGGGGAGCATTGCAGGAGGTTTCTGCTTACAGAGCCACCCTATAATCTCATGCAGAAGACCTCTCTGTGCTCTCAGTGGAAGACCAACAACACAAGCCAGCTCCCCATGAAAAGATAAGAAATTGCAACCCCACACCCTGAGCCATATTGGAGTGTGCAAAGTCAAACTTCCCTAATACTGCCTTCCCAAACAGCTCTAGAACCATTGTGGGGCAGACACAGGACACTCCTTGACCCTACAAGAAAGCACAAATGTCTACATAAATACATTATAAATTAAATAAAACAAAAACACAAGAGTGAATTCTCTTTTCTACAATTGGTGAGGTGGCCTTAGCTGATATTTATAAGTAATTCCTCTTCTATCCATTTTATATTTTCTCCACCTTCCTCTACCAGCACCTCAGCAAGTTGTGATCCTTTCCACAGGTAGTGGTGCCTACCTTTGTTTCTTCAGATGTATCTGTATGTTTGTTATCCTGTTTGGAATAGGCTGTTTTCTTTTCCAAATTAATTTAATCAAAGACTTGATAGCACCAGGAGATATCCTAAAGGATCTCCTGTACTTCAGATATTAGATGTTTAATCTCCATTTTGGGCCCATTATCACACTTCCCTCAACATGAAATGAGTTTGTTAGCTTGGTACAATATTGTGTCAAGTATGTTTTTTGAGAATTAAACATTCTGAAATTCTATGTAAGACATTCAGTAAGATTGAGGTTTTGGGAGAAGCCTGCATACAGGAAAGATAACTCCACAGGCAGAAGAGTATCAATTCAGGTAAGAACAAAGTATTTTCCTTTTTAGAGAGGAAAGAGTCCAATGTAGTCTCCCTGCAACCACATTACTGGCAGGCAACCCTAAAGAACGATGTCACATCTGTGGCTCAATGTTGGTCTCTTCTGTTGGTAGACATAGCACTCAGCAGCAACTGTAGCCATGGGAACCTTGCATAATCTCCATCATTTCCATCATGATCAGACTTTTATGGGCACACTGGACAATGATAGGAATGACTGGAGAAAGAGATTGACAGTACACAAAACAGGTTATCTTATCTACTTGATTACTGAGTAAATCCTCTGCCAAGGTCAACTTTTGATGAGCATTTATGGGAGGAACAAGTATTTTAAAATCCTTCCACCATTTGTTGAGTTCTATCCACACACTTCTTCACCAGATATCTTTTTCAATAATGTTCTTTTATTCATTTAATTTAATTTATTTTTTACATTCACTTTTTTTTATGAATTTCACATTGTGTACCTCACAGATTAATTTGGTAAGGCATATGCTAACCATTGTGCATTCGTTTTTTTTTTCACCTTGATACAAATTAGTCATTTGAGAGGAGAGAATATGAACATGACTTTAAGGCATTTTCTTTATTAATGATCAGTGTGACAGCACCCAACACAATGTGGGCAATACTATCTTAGCTATACTGGACTACACAGTAGAGAAAAGCAGGGTGAGCAAGCCAGTGATTTGTATTCCACCATGGTCTGCTTCAGTTCCTCCCTAGGATTCCCCTATGGAAGACTATAAACAGGAAACCAAATGAACCCCATAATTCTTCATGTTGCTTTGGTCATTGATTTAGCACAGCAACAGAAATCAAATTGTAACTTGTTGTCAAATTGGATGCAAATCAAGGACTGTGTCTTAAGAACAAAACAATTAGACTGAGGCAAGAATGGATTATGAGGTTTTGTCACAAAAACATAAACATAGTCAGCTCTGTGGTCCTTGATCTCATCTGGTATTTTTAGCCTCTGTTCCTTTAAAATGAATGTGAATAATTTCAAACATTCTCTGTTTGGGTCTGGAGAGATAGTTTAGTAATTAAGGGATTTTACATTTCAGGCTCACAACTGCCTATGAATATACCTCCTTGGTTTTCAGTGCTCTCTTCTTTCCTCATCACTCATGGACTTATGAGTCTCTCCTGTATACATACAAGATTAAAAATAAATGGGGAAAATAACAAACAAGCAAACAACAACAAAAATATTCTAAGAAAGTTCTCAGTTTTAATTTTTTTCTCCTAAGAGAAGGTCTTCTATCCTATTTGAAACACAAATTCAAGAACTCATACTAGTCTTGAATATTCAATTTTCCTGCCTAAGCATCCCTAGTGATTGTTATTATGGCAATAAACACCACACATCTCAGATGCACTTGTGAACAAGGAATCCTACATTTAAACCACATAACAAGAAAAACAAGAGCATCCACA